CAAGGAGGTTCAATTGCAAACCCTCAGAAATGAAGTAGAACTCGGTTTCTTCTTAGCTGATTCAGAGACTTTAACGCGAAGGTAGAAAAGTTGGAAGGGGCGAAGTACGCGATACAACTATCTCTACTTCCAAGGCATTGTTTCAGCAAAAACTGCATTCTGTTTTTATACACTGGAAAAATAAACACAGCATTGGATCTAGAGTCCAAACTCTTGAAAACATTGACAAGAAAAAGGACTCTTGATTCAATCAGATTTCAGCTTAGATCAAAAAGAAATCCGCTCAAATTAAGAGGCTTGGTTCTTGATTTAAGCTTAAATCTGATTGAATCAAGAGTATTTTTTCTCGTCGATGTTTTTAAGAGTCTGGAATCTAGATCCAATGTGGTTTTTTTTCAGTGAATGGTAAAGAACGGATTAAGGTGTTCCCCCTGTTTATCGATCCTTTTTCAAAAGTTCAATTGGCAAATCGATCGATGTATCGCAGGCACCCCACTTGACTGCCGCCAAGTTCACGTCCACGGGGAACGTGAAGTCTCGTCGCGAGCGAGTCGTAGTGACATTCATTGGCGAGAGTGACGACGCGTCTTTCACGTGCGATTAAGTGACGTCACGATTAGATCAACGCTCGGATCCCCGGATTAGCGTGATTAATCGATCACCATTCACCGCCGCGTCGGACGCGCCAACCGCACCGCCGATCTAGACCGCTCGAGGGAGCGGATGTCAGATCGGGCCAAGCTCCGAAAAACAAAGATTCACTGAAAAAAAACCACATTGGATCTAGAGTCCAGACTCTTGAAAACATCGACAAGAAATAATACTCTTAATTCAATCGGATTTTTGCTTGAATCAAAACGAAATCCGCTTAAATTAAGAGGCTTGGTTCTTGATTTAAGCTATATTCTGATTGAATCAAGAGTACTTTTTCTTATCGATGTTTTTAAGAGTCTGGACTCTAGATCCAATGTGGTTTTTTTTCCAGTGAAAGCTTCCGGCGTTAGGGGCTTCCACTCAGCCGCGGAATTCCGCTCGGACTTTCTGACGTGACAACAGCGCGCTCTGCCGGGCGAAAGAAAGGCGACTTTAGGAGGTTTGGGCGCTCATTGTGCTAATCACAAAGACGCCATCCGGACTCGGAGCCCGGGCTGCGGGGTCCGCTCGAGCATGAAAATTGGCCCCTTTGATTTTTTCACACCTCGTGTTTTTATTCAATTAACACGAGCGAGCAACGAGCAACGAGCAGGTGAATCAGGTGTATAAACGAATATTTCGGCACTCGCCCGGCCTATCTCCGACGTGTTCGGGCGCCACTTCCGTGTCTTTGCTCTCCTAAGCGCCATGTTGCCAAGTCGAGGAAAAAATGAACCGATAACTCAGTGCGAGTTAGACGTAACTTGTAAGATTTGAAAATATACTCTCTAGAGTGAATTCTACACAAATATTTCAAAAAATTTCACAGGGCCGTAAAATATTTAATGAAATTTCACAGGGTTGTGAAATCTGTGAATATTTTTCCTTGAATTAATCAGAGAATTTTATTCGCAATACTGCCGTGCTAAGGGAAAACGTCGTATGAGCCTCCAGGCGTTGCCACATTTTCTTGAATAACGAACGAATTTACTGGGAAAATTGCGAATATTTTCCTCCCAATTTTTAAGACAATTTTGTTCCCAATTTAATCCAAAATATCTGAAAAATTTAAGGAAAACCAGGCAAACATTTCTTCAAAAATACATGTTTTATTCGGAGAAATTTGACAACTCTCGATTGCTCATACGGCGTTCTTACTCAGCACGGCAGGATAAGACGTATTGTTATAGTATCTGAAAATTTGAGGAGGAAATGTTCAAATTTTCCTGAAAAATGAACTTTTGTAGACGGAGATTTGGCAACTCTAGGGTGTTCATACGTCGTTTTTCCTTAGCACGGCGCTTGAGTGAAAAGTGATTTGCGTGCGTGCGTCAGTGCAACAGTGATACGCACCCGAACGGAGTGACTCAGATCGATTTGATGAAAATACGCACGTTCATTACTCGAAAAGAGGCACGTTAGTTGGGTCCTCCATTGTTGCCGTCCCGTGCCGAGTTTTAAATTATTTTCGTTGAATTCAAGGTAAAATATCTCAAATAATGATCGGATTAAATTTGGCGACGATTGATGTCTTTCCTTACTCACACTCGAAAACTCGGCGTATTTCCGGCGGAGAGTTTTCCTTTTCCGTGTGTTATGGTAATACGAGTGAAATTCGAGAGAGGCCGATACGGTGAGAATAGTTTTAAATAGATGCTCTTGGACAACATCAATATTCAGTTTTTTTGTTCTGTTTTTTCCCCCCAAATATATTTGGGGGCTGAGTAGGGGGGAGGGGGAGAAGGGGACATCGTGACGGTTAAACTTCCGGATTGAAACCCTGAATTTGTATGTGTTACAAGAGGATATATTTTATGTGACTTAGGATGGTAGGATGAAGGGAATAAAGAGGGAAAGGAAAAACAGAAAAAGAAGAAGTAGAGATAGAGTAAGAAGAAGAAGTGGAGGAAGCAGGTGAAATCATTAAGGACGACCAAAGAATAAGATGAGGAAGAAGAAGCAGCAACAGTAAATGGAAAATCATCCTGTGTTTTACTTTGCAAAAATGAATACTATCGTGCTAAGGAAACATGCCGTATGAGCCCTCAGGCGTTGCCAAATCTCCTTCGACAAATCATGAATTTTCGGGAAAATTTGTGAATATTTCTCTTCCAATTTTACAAAGATTTTGTCCGTAATTTGATCTAAGAAATCAAAAAAATTGCAAGGACAAATGGATTACATTTTGCAATAAGGAACCACTATTTCTAGTTCATTTTAGAGACAACATATGTACCATTGGTTTCCCGATGCAGATATGCGTTTTCATGGAAGAGCCATAGATGGTGGTTCCTTATTGCAGAATGTAATCCAAATATTCATAATTCTTTCCAAAATTAAATCGTTTCTATGAGGAAATTTAGCAACGTTCGAATGTCCATACGGCGTTCTTCCTTAGCACGGCAGAATGGTTGATCAAACTCCTGAACGCCCCATTTTTTTCAGGAAATCCAGTCCACTAGGACCAACAATTACGAATCACCGAACAAACGTCCGAAGACTGAGCAAACAGGGCACCCGCGAGGTGACTGGAAGATCCGTATCTCTCGCAAAACGTCTATTCACACGATGACGCAATCCTCCTCGATGAGATCCGAGTCACAGATTTACTTAAATCCACCCGGAGCCGCTTAATTAGATCGCCAGTCCCACCGATTAATTTCTCCCAGACGCGGAAACTAACAGTTTTAATTGCGCTGAAGAGGCATAGTTGCGCGCGGCGCGGCCAGATAGCGCTGCCGCCGACGCTCATCCTCGGGGTTCTCCCGCCTCGCGGGAGGTTCCTCGATCTGACACCGCAGCAGCACCGGTATCACAATAGACTTTGCGGAGAGAGGGGGCGAATTCCTCTCCGTGCACCCGAGTTTCGTCGAATCCAACTTTCGCTCTCGGCTGAAAAGTGCGTGGGGTACCGAGAGAAAATACTCGTCGGAGGCGAAAGTTGAGGGATAGAATTTCCACGTTCCCGGGCTGATGGATCGGTTTGCCCACGCAGAATAATGAGTTAAGGACTATATGGACATACCGTCCGATCCGGGCTCAGAGGGCGAAAGTTCCGGGTGCTGGAGCCGTAGCTTCGATCGCTACGGGTGCTAAGCCCGGAACGCGGACGGTATGTCTATATAGCCTGTAAGAACGGTTTCTATGGCCGGAGTTTTTTTCAGTGCATGCAATGTCTCTTTTTCTTTATTTTACTAATTTTTCGTACCTCTTGCAGCTCGGAAAACCAGGCAGAGCCCAGTTCAGCTGCCAAAACTTTACAAACATGATCCAAATTTTCAAATGTTTAGGGATTGAGGCGGAGTGAAACCTGTTCCTGCAGGTGTACTCGCCAATCCCGTGAAAATGTGTCGCCACTATCGATATTCCAACCCGGGAGTAATTCACCAATTGAGAGTCAGACGCACTGACTACTGGGCTTAACTGGCCGGCTTTTAATCATAAATGTGAATGGAAATACAATACACACAATAACACAAACATATAGAGTAGGATAGGGTCTTCTTTTTCAAAGAAACGCTCCATTCATTTCAAGGAAACATGTTGGTCACATTCAGTCGTATGGAGACTGAGTCCAGGAATGTTTTTTTGTAAGTCTTATTTTTTCAACACTCTTGATGTAGATACATGATTATTTTGACAAAGTCGAATCTCACTAAGTGTAAGCCGGATAGAATTACCAGTTTTCTTGATCAAAAATACAATCGGAAAATTTTTGAGTAATTTTGTCATTTATTTGGGAATTTTATCGTATTTGGTTAAAGACATATGTTATAATTACCTATCAGATTAATAACAATATTGGAAAATTTTAGTGGTCAATAACCGCTAAGTCTTATCATTCCCAGTAGGCTGATCGTTGAAATCAGTTGACAAAGCGATAAACAAAGAAGACAAAAAGGATATGGAGGGATTCTATTGGTAGAAGCGAGTGGTTGCAATGGTCGAAGGTGATAAGTAATAGAGCTAACCTAACGGTAACCCACCAGAGACCCTTTAGTTAGTCCATCGTTTTCTCCCTTGGTTTAAAAGAACCACCCATTTCAACCGACAGGATCGCTCCTTACTCCTCATGTTTTCTTTGTCTATTGCTTTGCCAACTGATTTCAACAATCAGCCCACTGGGAATGATAAAGACCTAGTGGTTATTGACCACTGAAATTTTCCAAGATTTTTTATGATCCAATGGGCAATTGTAACATATTTCTTGAACCAAATACCATAAAATTCCTAAATAAATGACAAAATTACTCAAAAATTTTCCGATTGTATTTTTGATCAATTAGTTTCAATACTCAGCCCGCAGTTGTTTTTCTTTTGATCGGTTTGCACAAAATATACAGTGTAGCGTTCTTCGTGTATTGCAGGTTTTGGCGCTGTCTTCAGTTCTGGCCGTAGCCTCGTCGCTGGGCTCGGAAGACGCCGACGCAAAACCGAAAAAAGGCGATAAATTCTCGGCGCAAAGACGCCTGAGTCGCAATGGAGCCCTGAGCCCGCAGAAGAGGCTAGCACGACAGCCGAATCCTACGTCGACGCCGGCGGTACCATCGTACGCGGTGCCCATGGAGCCTCTGGTACAGTACTCGCAACGGGATCCCCTGTACCACGATAAGGATGATGAACCCATCGTAGAGAGCTTCACTACACCCGGCTACGAGCAGAAGTCGCGGATAGACCATCTCGTCGCGGAGCCCAGCAATCATATCACTGATATCTCTGGAGCAGGTAATGTTGATGTAGAAATTACAAGATAATCATTTGACCAATCACGGAGAAAAAAACTTCGTACATGGGATCCGAAGTTGAGGTCATATGGATCTCTGAAGTTTGCGGATCACGTATCTAAAAACTCAAGGTCCAGCTGCCGAAGTTCGGATCAGACATCTGAAGTATTTCGATATATACCGAAGGGTTCGGGTCCGGTCAAACATTTGAATTACTTCGATATATACTGAAGGGTTCGGGTCATACATCTGAGGTACCCCGGTACGTACCGAAGTGCCTCGATGTCTGACCCGAACTTCGGCAGCTCGACCTCAACTTTTTAGATACGTGATCCGAAAACTTTAGAGATCCATATGACCTCAACTTCGGGTCCCACGCACGAAGTTTTTCTCTTTGTGTACCAATCTGTACCATAATGTATCAGATCATGACAAAATTTGACCTTAAAATAAAAGAAAAACGCTTTTTTGAGAAAAATTATCTTTTGAAGCTTTGAGCACGCAGAAAGACTGCATAAGTCCGTGCATCACAAATCATTGCAGATCACTAAATTATCAGATTTTAAAACCTTAGTTTTGAATCACAGCTCTAGAATTTCTTGAATTTGATTAGAAAAAAAACCCGAGGAAACATTTCTTTTCACCAAAAATGACCCATGACATCCCTTGAGGTCTTGATTATATCTGATCAACCCCCCCCCCCGGAAATTCTAAGACTCTAATGAGCTTGAATTTATACTTCCAGGTTACGTGGAGCGTGGCGGGTACAACGGTCCCTTCCTGGACCACCCGGCCCCCGTCTACGGTGTGCCAACCTACTACAAAGAACCGGAGCCGATAATCGAGATAATCATCAAAGAATCGAACGAATCCCTACCGGCTCCGCCCACCCCTCCCACTCCACCACCGACCCCACCCACCAAGGAGCCCGTCCAGGTCTTCTACGTCAAGTACAAGAAGAACCCCAACAGCCACGGTAAAGAGGATGACGTCATCTACGACCCACCTATCCCAGCCCTAAGTCCCCACACCCACGACATCGTCGAACCCTCCCACCAGCCCGCGCCCCCCGTCCCCACCTACGGCGCTCCCCCCGCGACGGTGGCCCCGCCCCCTAGCACCACCATCAAGGCCATCATCAGGCCAGACTCGGAGACGTACCACGGGACCTCCGGGTTGCGGATCTCCTTCGGGAAACCCGACGAGAGCGGCCACGACTTCGCGTCGTACCATCGGGCGGCCATCGCCGACGGCCCGATCGAAGCCCAGAAGCGCGATTCCATCAGCGAACAGAGCGAGCCGCACTTCAGCCAAGTCTCCAGTTCGAGCCCCGTGGAGTTGACCGAAAAACCGAGTGTCGCTATAGTCACGCCTCATGCTCACAAGCGGCAGCAAACCGAGTTTCAGCCTCAACCCACTCCGGAAGTCAAGTTCACGCGGCAGGAGCCTTTCATCCCCTCGCAACCCCACATTGAGACCTACCAAACACCGCCACCGGTCACCTTCCAGCAGTCTCAACCCCAGCAAAGGGTTGTCTTCCCGGGACAGCAACCACCGTTCAGGCCCCAGCATACGAATAACGTCTTCAACAACAGGCAGAACCAGCCACTGCAACAGACTCAAAGAAACCCACCTTCGTTCTTAGGGCCGTTCAACCCCAATCAACGCCAGCAAACCCCGTTCATTCCCCCACCCAATCAACAGAGACCGAACAGCCCCCAACCGACCGGTCAGAACCAGGTGCACCGGCCCTTCGTGCCACCCCAACAAAATCAGCCCCCGCAGTTCCCGGTGCCGCACGCTTCGAACTATCACCCCCAGGTGCAACCACAGGGTAACTTCCAGTTCGGACCGCGCCCGAATTTCAACCCCAACCAGCAGTTCGTCCAACCGAATCCCCAACCGTCGAATAATCTTCCCCAGCATTTGAACCACCAACCGAACTTCAACCAACAATTCAACCCCCCGCAGCGGCAACCTGGATTCACTCCTCACCACCAGTTCAACCCCCAGCCCCAGAATCAACAGTTCAACCAGCAGAACCAACGGATCCAACAGCGCCCGAATCCGCAGCAGGTCCAACCCTTCGTTGCCTCGCCTCAGTTCAACCCCCCAAACCAGCACCCCCAACAGAACTTTGGGCTCCCACAACAGCAGCCGTCAAATAATTTCTTACAGCAGCGCAACCCCCACCACCACCAGTTCCATCAGCAACCCCAGCCAAGCTCCCTCCAACAACCGCAACAAAACCACCACCAACAACCTCAACAAAATCCGCAGCAGCATAACACCCACCAGCAACAGCAATCCATCCACCAGCAGCAGCAACCCATCCACCAGCAACAACAACCCATTCATCAACGACCCCAACAACAATTCCAGCAACATAATCACCAACAGGACGGTCACCAACAGCCGCAACAACAGTTCCATCAACAGAATAGGCCGGAGTTCGGGGCTCGCCAACAGAACTTCCATCAGCATCAACCCCAGTTCGCCCAGGCAGAAACCACCCATCAACCTATTTCAACCGGGCGTCCATACGTCGCCGTAACCCGGGACTCGACGCCAAAACAGTCTAGTCAGTCGCCGAATTACCGCTCGACCGAGGGATTCCGTCCCACCACGCAGTCCTACAAGTCTTCAACGCCTTCCTACCTCCAGTACTCAGAAGAGCAGGAAGAGGAAAAGAAGTACTACAAAAAGCCAACGGAGAGTCCTTTCTCGCAATTTCCACCAAACCACAAGCCGGACAAAGAGGGAAAGTACTCGAGTATCTTCTCGCCCGGAAAATCATCCAAGCCGCAACAGGTAAAAATATTGAATATGAAAATCCTAGCTTAGATCAAGAGTTTAGGAACAGTGTTTAAAATGTTTTGCAAAATAAGATTCAAGATGAGGTAAATTGGAGTGACTCATGAATGTAAGAAATTACAGAGTATGAAAAAAATGCTATATATAAAATAAATGCGTCTTTTTTGCTGGTTTAAGTATCAATGGCCAATATGCGATATCCTCGTATTTCCATTGCAGGCTACCTGCGGGCCGATTGTTGAAATTGATAGACAAAGGTATAGACAATAAAGACAAACAATATATGGTGGGATCCTATTCGTGGAAGCGGGTGGTTCCAATAAACAAAAGAGGTGAGTAATAGACTAACTAACGGCAATCGAGAAGAGACCTGACAGTTAGTCCATCATTTCGCCCCATAGCGTGTCAGAACCACCGGTTGCAACCATTAGGATCGCTCCATACTCCGTATATTTTCTTTGTTTATAGAGTGGTCTATCGATTTCAATAATAAGTCCACAGCCCGTGATATACACAATTTTCAGTGAATTGCGTGATAAGGCAAATATTTCAAATTAAATACATAGACACCGCTTTTACAGCGCTCTTTGGCGCTGTAAAAGCGATTACCATGCAGCCACCAAAGTCCCCTATCCTCTCAGAGCCCCTCAGGGAGTTGGCACTCCTTCATTTCCTCTAAAACTCCCTTCCACCACCCTTTCACCAGGTGTCCCTTCCGTCTCTTCCAAAGAGGCCCCCCAGTCAAGTATCTTCTTCGGTAGCCTCTCCTCCGTCATATTCCGTCTTTCCGTAATGGACCACTAGACAAGGTATAAATTTAAGCAATCTCATACATGTTTCTTAACCAAATTTTTACGTAAAACACGATTTGCACAACGAAAATTACTGAGACTAACTCCTAACGAAGATATTAACGTTTTTATATCACATTGGTTACGAGGAATTTGAACCGCCCACTCACAAGAAACTCAAAGCTCTACGTGAGTCAAATCGCGCACTACAACAACGGTTTCAGCAAGCTTTTCAATCGAGCAATGTTCATTTCCCACCATGTGTTGTTCAAACTATAAGCAATTTGCTACAGCTGAGCCAAATCGTTAAGATTAAGGTTGCCAGATTTTCATATCGCAGTGACTGTCATGATAATGTTTAGCGCGCGATGTGAATCACGTAGAGCATTGAGTTTTCACAAGCAGGTGGTTTGAATCCACGCGTCAAGAATCATTTAATATCTTCGCAAAGAGTTGATTTCGGTAACTTTCGTTGTGTAAATCGTGTTTTTCGTGAAATTTTGGCTCAGAAACTTGTATCGGAATGCTGAAATTCGTACCTTGTCTAGCGGCCCATTCCTTTTGAAGAATTTCAAATGAATTTCCAAATATCCTTCCAGCAGGTGTTCGTGACGAGCCCAACCCCTAGCTACACAACAACGACAGTCAAATCGACGACCTACTACACTCCGCCGGAATCCACGACCTACTCCCAGAAGAAGAAGATCGAGAAGGAAACGAAGAAGAGCGAGAAGGACAAGGTGAAGACGAGCCTGGCGGCACTCCCCGACGAGGTTCCCGACGATCTACGGGAGCAGCTCATTGCCTCGGGGATCCTGAACAACGCGGACATCCAGATCCTGGACTACGACAAGGTCGGCGATATCCCCATTGAGAATCTGCCACCCGAGGCCCTGGAGCAGCTTCAGGGAGCCGGTAGCGCGCCCGTGCCGTCCATCGTGGCGCCGGATAATGTCACTGCACCACTTGAAATGAAGGTTAGTATTTGTTGTAGGCATCACTGACAGAGACCAAGATATAAAGACGGAGCGCTAAAAGCAAAAAATGAAGCTTCTTTTCAACCACCTCTACTATTGGTTAGAGGATTGGCGGCGAAATCGGGACAAGTTTGAAATTCAAATGTAGGGTGGGAACTAAATAAAATTGCAGAAACAAAGAATTCTAGGTTGGTCTTCTTTTTTTTCTTGTAACCTGGTTTAATACAAAGGAAAGTACATAATAAAAAGTATACGATATTAGCGAAGTAAAAAAAGAAAGATAGACGAGTATAACAAAATAAGGAGGATATAAATTCATTTATCCATGCAAGAGTGTAAATTTAAATACTAGAAAGTCATAGAATCAAGTGGCTCCCGAGGCCAAAGTCACGCCGGAACTACCATGTGGATACTACCGTGCTAAGGGAAAACGCCATATGAGCCATCAGGAAATGCCAAATTTCCCCTTATAGAACATTAGTTTTTGAGGAAAGCTATTAATATTTTTCCTTGAAATTTCCGAAACCTCCAAATCAAATTGCTGGTAAAATTCTCATGAAAATTGGAAGAAAAAAACCAACAGTTTCCTTGGAAATTCGTATTATATCGAAGGCAATTTGGCAACGCCTGAAGGCTTATACGGCGTTCTTCCTTAGCACGCCAGTATTGTTCGCTTTACCACCACGGCAGCATTGAGGGCCTCTCTTTATCTCTTAACATGCATTGAGTACATAGAGTCGTAATGTTAATGGGAGAGCTGGCGCCATGTTCTGCTCGACGAGTTCCGAGCCCGGTGTGCGCCGAGTTCGGATCACTTTTTCGATACATGTTCGATCAAAAATGGCGGTACGGAATACGTGGTGATCCCTATCTTCTTTGTTTACATCGGGTGGCCGCGGGGTACCCGTGTATCGCAAACAATCGATCATGTGTCGAAAAAGTGACCCGGCGTCACACAGGAGTCTCGGAACTCGGGACCTGGAAAATGCTTAAAAGTGGCGCCAGCTCACCCACTTACATTACGACTCTATGTACTCTATGGAAAAAATCAACAGTTTCCTTGGAAATTCGTATTATATCGAAGGCAATTTGGCAACGCCTGCAGGCTTTTATGGCGTTCTTCCTTAGCACGGCAGTATCGTTCACTTTACCATCACGGCAGCATTGAGGGCCTCTCTTTATCTTTGAACATGTGAGTGGACCGAATGGCCTGGTTACACGCTCAAATTCCTGTCAAATTCCGAAAATGATGACCAAGATGGCGGTCGATAGTTATCTAGATTGATGAGTAAAATTAATTAAAACAGCTTGTTGATTGAAATAAACATGAAATAAGCACGGTTGTGTGGAAATCAGATGAAGGATGAGCCCCACAGCTCCATCATCTACCATCAAATTTTTGTAGGGCGCAGAACTTTGATGGTAGATGGTGCGCACCAGTCACCATTTGATCGGAAATTGATGGAAATTCGAGCGTGTAACCAGCACATATCGACGGTGCAAGTCGGCAATCACATAACTCGTTTGCGGTGTCTGAGAATCTCCGCCTCTATGTTATTTTTTTAAAGGAGAACAAATTGACAACATTCCCAGAAGTTTTTTTGCAGAATTGTCTTTGCCGAGAAAAGAAAAATCTCTGCAGTTTTAAAGAATGTCCGTTGAGTAGTTTTCCATTAAAAAATAAAGTTTGATAGGAAGTCTGCAAATCGAGCTATGTGATTGCCGACTTACACCGTCGATGTACTCTATGTGAACATGTTAGTGGACCTAATAATCGTGTATTTGTTCCAGGTGGTGCGCTACAACTCCGAATCGGAGGGCGAGCGCGTAGCCGAGACCTACGTGCAAGAGGACGCAACCCAGCTGGACCCGGTGGTGCTCAACGACTCCAAGTACAACCGCTACCTGCCGCTCAAGGTTTCCGGGACGCAGTTCCCGGTGCCGGACTCCCTGGAGCTGGGCGGGCGGAAGGTGAGCTCGGTGGTGGTGCTGGCGCCGGTGGACTACGAGTTCATCCGGGCGGCCGAGCGGGGCACCGACGAGCGGGCCGGCCGCGCCGCCGCCCAGGTCCACGGCGTCCGCTTCATCGCCGGCGACTCCCTCAAGAGCCTCGTCAAGGAGCCTACCGCCCAGAACTACCGCCGCTGGCTCGAGAGGGAGAAGTCCATGCCCGCCGAGAGCCAGTCCGTCATCCTCCTAGTTACCAGGTAATCATCGCTTATCCCACATGGAGAATTCCATGGAAAACGAGAATTTCAAGTCTCACGCTGAAATCCAATGAAAGAGCGACACTGGAAAAAAAACACATTGGATCTAGAGTCCAGACTCTTGAAAGCATTGACAAGAAAAAATACTCTTGATTCAATCAGATTTTGCTTCCAGGACTTTATGTCCACCTACCTTTCGTCCATTAAATAAATGTCCACCGCTATTTGTGTCCACTAAACATTAAGTCCAGTCTATCTTAAGTCCATATGATTTAATGTCCAACCATGAATATGTCCAAAATTGACCAAATTGTGGACATGTTATGTCCACATTTTTTTCTTCTCATTTGAATGACAGGAACCACCTCAAAAATAAATGCATACTACATTCGTAAAAACATTTCATTCCTGAATCAAGTCATGAAAGAGAACAGACTCTTTAGAGTCCTTAGCAGAGTCTTAAGCGGAGTCTTAAGCAGATTGAAACATAGGTTCATGTGTACACTGTACGGATATGATAAGATGAAAACCGAAGCGGGAGCCTAGGAAACGCTCCAATGCCAAACTAAACATTTTTCAGTAACATACGCTGTCAAAATTGAAAGTCCTCTTTAACTAGTTATTTCGTGCGCCTTCAATCTTGTAGGATACTGTGCAACGCTTCTGACGCGAAATAGTTGCTTAAAGCGTTGCGGCGCGGCAGGCAACCAGCGTGACACGCGCATAGGCGCCTACAAACCTGACGGGATACTTCACGCGTTGCGCAATGCGTGAAGTATCCCGTTAGGTTTGTAGGCGCCGAGTGCGCGTTCTGCACTGCTAATACGCCGCTCCGCTCTGTGTTAGGCTCTAATTAGGCTTGGTTCTTGATTTAAGCAAAAATCCGATTGAATCAAGAGTATTTTTTCTTGTCGATGTTTTTAAGAGTCTGGACTCTAGATCCAATGTGTTTTTTTTTTTCCAGTGGACCTTGTTGTTGACCGATTGTTTTTTGGCACAATTTCAGATCGCGGGAATTTTTCTGAAACCGGACCCAAACGATACCTTATAATGCCCTAATACTCAGGTACAAATTTCAGCTTGAGTAAACGAACGGTTTCTGAGTAATGGGCGGGCAAAGTGGATAAATGGCCATCATTCTTGACAGCGTTTTTGCTGTAAAAACGACAGGGAAAATCGACGATACGGTTACAGCCAGAACCCATCAAAGGTGTAACTTTTTCTTCAATTTTCTCCGTCGTTTTTGCTGTTAAAATGCTGTCAAGAATGATGGCGATTTGGCAATTTTTGGTTAAAGCGACCGAAACTACGAAATTCTCACAGACATCTGGGGACGAAGAAAGTGATTCGCTATAATTCTGCCCGTTGTTAAGGGGAGTCATACGTCGTTTTTGGTCAAAACTTTATTTTGTCTTCAGTTTTTCATAGAGAGAAATTTTATTACACAAGTTTGGTCAGGAAGTAAAACGAAAATAACCCTGGCCTTCGGTTGACAATTTCAAGAGGAAATGCCAGCTAGTTTTCGTGAAGAAATAATTTAATACGGACTCATGACTCCCCATAATGGAACAGAGATATTGGAGATGTTGCATGTGTGAGGAATTTGCGATATGACCATTGATTCTTATGTAAAAGTTCGCGAGAAACACGATGGTGTTATTGGTTTTCTCTGAAATCATCTCCCAAGCTCAAAAACAGCTCTCAGGTTGAGGCCAAAATGGAGGGAATATCCCGCCCTACCCTGAAAGTCCACCTCTACATCAAGACAACTCTCCATGCAAAGATAGGGAGCAAATACATTAACAGGGTTGCCTTGTTTTCAGTTTTGGAGTCCTCAAATAAAGTGGCAGCCCTGTCAATGTATGTGCTTCCTATATTTGCATGGAGAGTTTGTCTTGATGTAGAGGTGGACTCTCAGGATAACGTGGGATGTCTCCTCCATTTTGGCCTCAACTTGCGAGCTTTTTTTGAGCGTGGGAGTTAATTTCAGAGAAAACCAGTGGCCACATCGTGTTTCTCGCGAACTTTTACATGAGAATTAACAGTCAAATCGCAAATTCCTCACACATGCAACATCTCCATTCCTTCTATTTCTTCCAAACAGCAACACTGATCAACCGTAGACTAGAAGCTCCTGCGTCATCGGAGTTCAAGCTGGCAAGGCATGACGAGCATAGAGTGCCTTATCATTGCAGTTAAAAGGGGAACGTGGAAGTTTCACGGGGCCGAAAAGTGTGTTCGAGTCTGTGTCTCGTTGCGGTGGACTGTCGCTGTCGTCCGCGGCGCTCGCGTTACTCATCGCAAGCACGCGCGTGCCAAGCCGGGACTGTCAGGTGTCGGCCGATCTCTCGATCGCGCACTTCTGATTTATCTCTTGCTTTCCACTTCGCGAGCTCTCTGTGCCACAGGGTTGCCACACCGAAAGAGGAGAATACGAACTGCAGACTGATTTTTGAAATTGATAGACAAAGTGATAGACAAAAAGGACATAGGGAGTATGGAGCGATTCTACTGATTGCATCTGGTGGTTCCTACCAGTGGCGTGGCGTGCTTTGCGATATATCGATTGATACGCCACTCAAACCTATGAAAAATATCGATTATCAGGGTGTTCGCAACGAACACCTTAATAATCGATTCTTTACTATAGCTTCAAATGGCGAGATATCGATAATCGATCATTCACGCCTCGCCACTGGTTCCTACAGACTGAGGGGGAAAATGATGGATCAACTGTCTGCGGGCTGATTATTGAAAATGATAGACAAAGCAATAGACAAAGAAGACAAAAGGGATTTGGAGGGATCCTATTGGTAAAAGCGGGTGGTTGCAATTGACAAAGGAGGTAGGTAACAGACTAACTAACGGCAACCCACGAGAAACCCGACAGTTAGTCTATCATTTTCCCCCTTAGTCTATGAGAACCACCCATTTCAACCAATAGGATTGCTTTATACCCCCTATGTCTTCTTTGTCTATAGCTTTGTCTATCAATTTCAATAATCGGCCCGCAGGTCTCTTGGCGGTTGCCGTTAGTTAGTCAATTACTGGCCTCGTCCATTACAACTACCCGCTTCCACCAATAGGATCCCACCATATCCTTCTTGTCTTCTTTGTCTATAGCTTTTTCTATCAATTTCAATAATCGGCCCGCTGGAGGATCGATTTCCAGTTTTTGACTCATTTGAGCGGGGTTTCGGCACTTTATCGACATTTTTTGACACCCCCCCCCCCC